ATGGCCTGAAAGTTACCCTGATAAAATCAGTATGGGAAACAAGCTTCCAGCATATTTTGCTTTTTCTGGCAAGTGGTTTGAAGAAAAGAGTGAAAATCATTTAAGAGGATGGCAGAGTAACTGTAAATGACAGCTGAGAAAGCCTCAACCCACCACCTAACATTAGGGCAGGTCTTTCTCAGTCCTGCCTCCTCCTTGTTTGTAAGCACCATGTTAGCAATTTTCATCAGAGAAACAGTCACTTCCAATACATTCAGACTTCTCTTAGCCAGCTAAAAAGACATGGACAAATCAGAACCTGGCTATAAGCCCCAATACCTCTGTACATCCATGGCAACTGTTGCAGTGCTAATCTATTGATCACACAATAAATAGTGCCTCTTTAAATTAAACATCCAACATTTTTGCATTTTTCATAAGTTAAAGTTTCATAGAGATTACAATTGGAAGTTAAGTACTCTCCTTACTTTACCTAAAGATTATATAGTCTGCATAAGAATAAAGCTTTATAAGTATCTTAAGGCGCACGATGTAGCATATGGAAGTCAATCCTGAGAGAGTTCCTTGAGAACTGTGCTAAAAATGCACATGGATTTCAAGTCCAAAAAATACAATTAAAGCTAAGCAGTGAAGTAGAGAGAAATGTAGAATAGTTATTTGCTACGTTACATCCAAGAAGGCGATTATTTGTTAAATTTGTATATTTAATTATTTGCTAAAGAAAGTTCTCACTATTGTCTAAATTATGAATTATGTGTAAGATTTCATAAGTTTCTATTTAGAAGTATAATCTTATTGAGTCTTAGTAGTCCATGGGTGTGTTCCAGAACTGTATCTATAGTAAAATAAAAGCAAAATACAATAATGGTAAGAGGCAAATATATCACAATGTATATGGTACAGTGTGCACTTTCAAAGGAAGTGTTTGTTCAAAGAAAGCACTTAAGCCTTATATGTTATTTTCACCTGTCATTTAAGTATCAGAAGCTCAGTCTGGATCTTTTAAATTAACAGTAATGACTACCACAAGTACAATTACTGTTTTTTGTAAAGATCAAGCAGAGTCTTTTCTGATATAAATGGATTTCTGGATTCCAAGGCTTTTGAAGAGCTTTAAGTAAATGTAGTTTCACATCAGTGCTGAAATGTCCCCTAAAGAGAGCTAGACATGTCATTGTTTAATTCTCCACTTAATGGAAGCAATGCTTTGCCATAAGAAAGCAATGACATCCTGATATGTTGGCAATATGCTTATAATATTTTTTATGCCAACCAGGAAAACTAGTTGCTTAAAATACATTTTACAGGTCCAGATAGGTCAAGTTTCTTAAGAAGTATGTAAACAACTGTCACTAAATTTCAGCTAAACATTGTTACTTATTTCTATGTCAATGTTTTAATGTGTGGTTTGTGCTTCTGGGGATCTGTTTTCCTGGGTTAACTATGTCACTTCTGTTTCCCCAGGACAAGACGAGTGCCTTGAGTCTCAGCAACGTTGCTGGAGTCTTCTACATTCTGGTTGGAGGCTTGGGCTTGGCAATGCTGGTGGCTTTGATAGAGTTCTGTTACAAGTCCAGGGCAGAGGCGAAACGAATGAAGGTGGCAAAGAGTGCACAGACTTTTAACCCAACTTCCTCGCAGAATACCCAGAATTTAGCAACTTATAGAGAAGGTTACAACGTATATGGAACCGAAAGTATTAAAATTTAGGGGTAGGACTTAGGGCCTACTACAGCGAGTGGGTGATGCATCTTGTAACGCAGTGTTGTGACATGTCTGTCTAGTGGTGCTTGCTTCTGAACAGAGCTTTATATTTTGGAAAACTTCAGTGCAAAGTGGTTCAGTTCTTTTGGCTGCAGATGTACAGTATACTATTCTATGTTGCTAATAGACATCTGCATTGCAAGGAATTTTTAACATGACAAATACCTTTCGAACTCAAAGTTGTCAAATCAGTTGGGAGATGACAACTATTAGAAATCAGAAAGCATATATCTGGAGGGCCAGTGTTTAAATACTTGATTGGGCAGTCTGTTTTCCTAAAGGTTTGCACTCTACTAGTGACAAATTGCTGCAAGCCTGTATTATTCAATGTTGGCCCTAACTGGAACTTCATAATAATCAAGATTTAGGATAGGCAACATCACTGAACCATAGTTAACCTAATGGAAGACAAGGCACTGTTACAAGAAGTCTAAATGTTGTTTTACCTTCTCTCCCTCCTTCCCACCCTGTTCCTTCACCCTTCCTTTGATACATGTTTTATGCTAATTGTGTGGCTTTTTTTTTTTTTTTTACAATATCCTGCTTCAGGTCAACCTTTGCCCACTATAACAGTCAAAAAGAGTCACTAACCAGTGCATAGACCTTGATTGTTATCCTGAGCTTTCAGTTACATCTTCCCTTACCTAGGTCAAGGCTAGTGTATTTTAGATGTTCACACAGTGATTCTGGAGGCTGAATCACTGATGCTGCTGAGCTGCATCCTGCATAGCTCCCCTGAGTAGGCATGCAGGGATGGTTTACTAATGTACATGCTCTCATCCATACAGTGAGCATCTTGCCAACTAATCATTAGACAAATCAACTCTCTGACCTTTGGAAATGGCATGTAGCAGCAAATTGAGTTTCTAAATATAACTTAGTTCCCGAGCTATACTGGCTGCTTTATAAGTGAGTGTGAAGCTAGGTCCCTGCCCTATCAGGCTGCCTAGAGATCCCCTGCCCCTGCAAATAGCAAGCCACGTCTCCTCTGTTAACAAAAAGCTTGAGTTACATTTTCCTGAAATCACTGAGCCATCCCTATAGTGGAAGTAAGAAGCACGAATTTAGGGAAACAAGATGAAGAATATAATATTTACATTGCCACCAAGAGAAAGAATTGTAGGAAACAACCTAAAATACAATTACTATTTTTTATTTATTATTTATATAGCGCTGGAGTACACGGCGCTGTACAATAGGTGAAGTGTGCCAAACACATAACAGGTCCCTGTCCCGAGGAGCTTACAGCCTAAAGGCACAGCCGGTACAATACCGAACCATACAGTACAGAGCAAACACAGAGTGAGCAGAGAATGGTGTTTGAGCATGATAGCTGGAGCGCTGCGAGGAATAGGTGGGTTCTCGGCGGGCGAGGGAGGGGGCTTGGTGAATGCTGGCTGGGAAACTGTCCCAAACATACTGTTGCTGTGTGGTTTTCTTCTGTTCCCTGTTGTAGAAGAAGTCATGACCCTGAGTGTATTTTAATTGTCACAAAGCTGCCTAATTTCCACATGTGTAAAAAAAAAAAAGTTAGCTGTGGAAACATGAGGCCTAGTAGGTTGTCAAGCAGACTCCAAGAGTATAGACCAATGTTCATTACTGTGAATTGGGAATCAGGACTTCCAGATGCTAATATTAATCTCCCAATCTCACTCCCTTACACAGTCAGTAATAAGGATCTTAAAAACAAGTAATTCTGTTCAAGTAATTAGTTCAAAATGCAAATGAAGAGTGCTTTTTCATTTAAATTCTTTAGTGATGTGCCCACAACTGAGAGTGTCTCCAGGCTAGCATAGAAGTTAGAGTCCCAGAAAACATGAATATGTTTGGTCATGTCATTGACCAAACTCGATAAACTTCCGTATCAAGTTCACAGAGTGCAATGCATTTAAAAGAGTCTTAAAGAAAGCAAACAAAAAACTTAAGCTTTCATTCAAATACTGACCTGACCCAAACTGTCTGAGCATGCTAAACATGGCATGATTTGACAACCTCTATGGGTCCCACTCAGTTCTGTGATTCCAGTGTGACACTATTTTTTTTAGCCTTAGTGTTTACTTATAATAAAAAAATAGAGCTAACTGAGTTTTATTTCTTAGTAAAGGTCATAAGTACCTCTCTCTAAAGTTTGGATTTCTGTGATATAAAAATGTTGCACTGTATTTTATTTCAAAGTCATATTTGGGTCAGCCAAAACTTCTGATAGTTGCTTAACATTTTATTATGAAGGCTTTTCAAATTCAACAAAAAAAAATCACTAGGATTTTGAACAAAGATTTACAGACTTCTGAAATTCTTCATTCTTCTTATTTGATGTAATCTTTACCTGAGAAATTTCAGCAACTGCTTATAAAAATGCTTATGCTTATATATGAAAGACTGCCAAGGTCCAGTCATCCTCTCCTGGCCATGCAGGCAGCAAGAGGTACCTGTGTGCTGCACTCTGCACAGGGTGACTGTGCCACCTGTTCACACACGTGCTAGTCATAAACCCCTGTTTAGCTGGCAGCAGTACAGAGCCCACAACATTGGTTACACATATTTCTGCAGAAATGTGGCTGTCTTACGCATTTCAAAACCTTTTACATGTTTATTTATCCAAGGAGTAAAGAAACCCTATTGGAACTAAAACTTGCTAATATGGAAATACTCTTGGTGGTTCTAACCTGCATGAGTAACCAACACGTGGACTTTTTAAGCTAACTTCAAATGGTATATGTTTTAAACTAATATAAAATAGCTTAAATAACCCTCTTGACAATTAATATTCATTACCATGTTTTTTTCTTTTAGTTTCATCCAGACAAAAGTGAGTTACCTCGGGGAAATTCACCTGCCTGTGAGGCAGCAGGATATGAAAACCAAGGACTAGTCTGTATGTGTGGGATAAAAACATTCAGTAGGGATGACAGACAGTTGCATCTGCTGAAGGTGGGGTAGGAAGTTTGCTTGAAGCAGGGAACAATCCCTTCCTCTTCCCCCAGACAGCAGTTTTCCATTTTTGTGGATCAGTAGTAAGATCTTAGTATACAGTGGAGCCAATGCTGAGAACAGTGCAGAGCTTAGCACCCTTCTCTCCACTGCTCTAGGGCAAAGCCCTACTGAGTTCCTCATCCCAAACCCACAGGCTTTGGAAGGGATTGTGCCAGTATCCAGCCAGCCACCGTGGCCACCTCTCCATGGCCCTCTCACTGGGCCATGAAGCTCAGGAGTCAGCTTCCAGTTCACCTGCCTTCTCTTGCTCTCCCATCCCACACTGTTGTTTATAACTATCAGAATTAATTACAGAACTACAAAAATCAATGAAAACCACTATTACTGCAATGAAATACAAAAAAGAAGTGCTACAGGATGGCTCAGTAAATATGTAATGCACTTATTTTGATTTGTATACTTCCAATTTCACAGTCAAGATAGATAGAAAAATTTATTTATAGTCCATCTTAGATATTTGTGCCAAAGACACCTCCATGTGACCCAGGTACTAGAGGAGCCTGAACAACCAAAGAACCACACAGACTAGGATATTTATATTATATAGACTGAGGATAATTGTTTCCTAAATTCCCATTTCCCACTAGGAACAGGGCAGTCAGTGTTTTCATGTGATTAATTCCATAACTAATTTAATCAAAACTAATGACAAATTTGAAAATATGTTTTCACTATTAACTGCATACACTTACTGCAAAGAGACTTTTACAGCTTGGGTAATATTCACAGTAAATACCAAGACTTTTGCCTCTCATTCCAGCCACTCTTGAAACTGTTTCTGCAGCCAGGAATTTGAAATTGCAGCAGCCAAGTTAAACAGAGTATTAGCCTGGCATATTGCCTATTGCATAGTTTAAAATACAAAGCAGCAGCTTACCTGGTTACTTGTCTTTATGGCACTGTCCCAAGAACAAGTTTGACCTGCTCCTCCTGGCTTTGTAACTGTCTGAGTTGTTGTTTCCATGGTGTGTTGCTGAGCTGTTCTTAATCTCTGCTGCGACAGAAGAGTTCTTTTCTTGCAGCTTTTCTGTTCTTCTGTGAAAGGCTGCTGAGAAAGTGTTTGTTATTCTCATTTGATTTTTTAATTTTTTTTTACTGGATCACTTTTTTAGTTTCTTTCTGTCCTGAGTGTGCTGTCAATGGCCAGAAAGCTATATAGAATGAGCTACTAAACCACAATTACACACAACATGTGTATCCCATATAAGTCTGTGCTCTTGCTCAGATTTCCCAGTGGCAAACTCTGAATGTCCATGAACAGATAGCTGATCAAGGTGGTGGAGAGTTGCTGGTACATACTGATGACTTTCTGGGAAATGTAGCATATCTGGAGTAATCTGTCCCTTTTCCACCCAAGTCTGCTTCCTAATCTGGTTTAGACTCTCATCCCTCCTGCAAACTAAAGCACCTTTGGTTTTTTTCTTGCCATTGACCAAAACATGTTCTGTGCAGTTCTGCAGACAGTTACCAGTCCTCAACATCCATTTGCAATGAGACTCTAGACATGCACTATGTGGATCTACGCCACATTGCATTGTGTCTGTCCTTTGCAAATGCAGATACTTTTATTTGCTGCTGGGGAGTAGTTAAGAGGTTTTGGTAATGTATGGGCCTAGGTCCCCACTCCCTCGTTACCTCTGCCACCATTTTTGTATCTAGGTGTAGGTTTAGGTCAAGATATGTTTGGTAACAGTCCCTGTCACAAAATAGAGTGGCAGCAGGGAAACTTTTCAAAGTTTCCAAGACTTTGGATGTTGCAATTGACAATTACCAAAGGCAAGGTTTTTCAGTGTAAGGGGAATGCCATAATGCCCTCTGTAAGCTGAGGCCTTTTCCTGAATTTAGATGCTTGTGAGGGCTGAAGTTTTTAGGGTAATTGGTTTGGAAAGTTACTTTTATATCCAAGCTCTGACTGTGCCACAACAGCAGCTGTGTTTTTGACAGCCCTTTCTGAAGGACCTGCTGATAGCAATGCAATATTAGACTGGTGCATTTTCTGAGAAGTGTACCAGAAGCAGTGAAAATGTTTGAGAGTTTTAAGGACTCTCCCTCATCGCCATACACACACACTCATATGTAAAATTAACCACATATCAAACACCAGCTCAGGATTTCACTGCTACCTCAGAAGGAGAAAGCAGGCTCAGAGGGATAAAGTTCAAAATGCAGAGATCAGTAATAAGGCAAATAAAATGATTTGATTATGTTTGTCATCCCTTTGCTCCTATGTGAATGCACCCTCCTTTCTCCCTTTTATCCAATTGGTATTTCAGACTGCATCCCTGCACACCAATTACATGAGATAGTTGCATAGACTATAGCTTCTGCTGACTAGAAATCAGATTTCCCCACTAATTATTGTCTTAACACGATATCTCTTAAATCTCTTTCAGTATAGCATAGTCTGGGGGGCCTGGTGTTCCAGTTGTCCTTGCTGCATTGTCTGACCTTAGATGCCTCTCCTAATTTTAGTCATATGAAAATCATTTACTCTAAATTAGACATCTTGGGGTTTTTTTGCCATCATGTGAGAGCTCTGTTAGGTTAGGTTACTGATTTTTGGATGACTAAAGTTAGATGGCATAACTACAAGTCTTTAAACAAATCCAGGGTTTTTTTTGCTTGAGTCAATTAGTTCCTAAACAAGATATTTTATTCTGATTTACCATAAAGTAAAGATTTTGAGGTAACAGAAATTTAAACCTTCTTGTGAAAAACTGTATTTTCTCTCAATAAATTGCATTTCCTTTGAAAGTTCCCACCTTCTCCAGTTCTAGGAAAATATATATATGAAAGAGATTTGAGGACAGTTCTCAGATTTACTGATACTAAATATGTGTGTGGTGAAAAGAAGTAGTAATTTCTTTAGATTTGAACCATGGAATTAGCACAAAGATAGCTGATACAGCTATTGCAATTTAGAAACAATTTTCAGTAGTTGTATTTTATCTTGACATTCCTAGCTGATGGTCTAAGCCTATGAACACCTGTGCATGACTTTATTCACAGATGCTAATGCTTTCAGGTTCATAAAGGTCTTGATTCTCATTTCACTGTATATATAAATGTAGTTTGAAGCAGTTTAAATTAAGGTATTGCCTCCTCTGTTAATTTCATGATCAAATTTGGATTTTATATTTAAATCAGTAATGATTTCTTGCAATGAAATTTACCCTCAGAATTGCTAGCCTTTTTCCCCTAATAGACCTAAATGCTACGTATTATATTTATGATGATTACTATTTTTATATTTAATGTTAACATGAAAAAAATGCAGATGTCTAAAATTTAATCTTTTGGTGTTTGCTGTGCCCTGGTTTGTTGAAGGACAGACACATTATAACACTTTCCTCTTTTCTCCTTTTTCTTCAAACGTAGCTTACCTTTTCTGAAGCCATAAGAAACAAAGCCAGATTATCCATCACAGGGAGTGTGGGAGAAAATGGACGTGTATTGACTCCCGACTGCCCGAAGGCCGTGCATACTGGAACTGCAATTAGACAAAGTTCAGGATTGGCTGTAATTGCATCGGACCTACCATAAAAACCAAAAAAATAATTGAGTGCCTTAATCAAACTGTGTTGGTGACTGATGGGAACACAGCACAGACTGTAACGACATGGGAGTGTCATTGATGAACTAATAATTTGGCTGAGAAAGGGAAGTACGTCCAAATGCGCCAGACATCATCAGCAACAATGTGTGCATGAGCTCAGCTCGGAAACCCAAACTCAGATTTTATATCAGGAAAATTCATAATTTAGTTTTGTTGGGGGGAGGGGAATGGGAAGGGTGTATTAACAGCAACAAATTTCACTTGAGTGGACTTAAAACTAATAAGACTTGCCAACTTAGCGCATTAAACTGTGAAGAACATGCTCAGAAAGGACACCATTTTGGTCTCTGTCTTGACAAAGAAAGAAAAAATAGCTATAGAAGTCAATGAACATGCTAACCTGTGTCTCCAGAACATCAATATATACAATGGAAGAAAACTCAGCTGTTCAGCTGTAGAAATGAATCACTAAACTGTGATAAGAAAATAATAAATATGTAAATCCTGTGAAAAAATAAAAAAATTATTTACATTTTCTTTGGAAAAAGAGGAATATTGAAACATGCTTGCTTTTTAACTGATGTAAATTCGGTAGAGGACAACACAATTCTTTTTTCTAACCATCTTAGGGAAAAATCATTGCAATAATTGATATAAAATGCCATCACTGTAATAAAATTCAGAGACTTTTTTTTTATAAAAGTTGTTGGTCATCCTCTTGTTTGCTGTTACCTTCATTCTGTTCCATCATTCCGTGTTCCACTGATTTGCATCTGTCTAATACAAGAAACAAAATGATAAAATGTTTAGAGTACGTCATCAGTCTGCAGTGTAGAATCAAAAGAGACTACGGGTCACTCATGTTACAGATATTATTTATAATCTTGTTCTGTGTAAGAAACTGTGGTTTTTGTACCCACCAAAAAGAATAAAACAACAAATGTTCTTATAATATTGACAGAGCTTGAGTTGTTTTCTGATCATTAGGGATGTCACATGGAAAATAGAAAAAGTTGGTTCATTTCTTACAACAGGATGCAGGATCTTATCAGAGACAGTCTGAGTCCCTGCACATTTTTTAAGTGCTTTTAACTCCATAGAGAGAAGGGACTCAAAGCAGTCCAAGTATTGTCAGGATTGTTCACTAAATTTTTTATTAATAGCCACTAAAACCCTTTCTGAGGTGTTAGGGAAGTGTTTAATGATAGGATTTGTCCTCTGGGTAGGTCAAGCAATGAGATGCCAGGGAGCAAGAAAATACAAATGGCAGTCCTTCAGATTGATGTGGTAGGTACAACCTGCTTGGCATCCACCAGCCTTGGTTTTAATCATGCAGCCTATCAGTGGCATGCCAGGGAAAGGCTAGCAGCCACTATTTGAATAGAAGTCAAATGTCAACAGGTGCAGGCATGTCTGTAGCTGCAAAGTGGCAGCAATTGTATTCTGTCATGGTCATTCTCCTTGGACTAGACCTGGCATTGTTGTCCAAATCTACAGTATTGCCACAAGTGTAACAGCTCCATGACAGAGCCCAGACTGCAAGCTTGATCAAATTTGAATTAATAGCTTCTATTGCTCTGGTGATTTTGCCAGGCCCATGAGGTGTCATGTTCCAATGGCTTATATTTTACCAAAGCCTTGTGCTGGTGCTTCTTTCAGCCCCAGGGCTCTCATGAAGAGGAGTGTGGGTGCAGGGTGGTGCCTAATATTGCCCAACAATGACAAACCCTCAACAACTGCCACAAACAATGACCAAAGGCACTGCTGAGGTGATACTCTTTCTGTGTGATATAGACATGTACAAAGTAGCAAAGCAGGGGTTAGTTACAGCAACCTAAATATGAATTTCTTGCCTCACTCTAGAGACCCTTTATAGTTGCTGGAAGGAAATAACCAATGAGAGTGAATGACTTCTTAAAGCAGACTTTAAAACAGCATGCTGAATCACAGCAGCAAGAGCCTAGATCTTTCCACTAACCTTAATCTAGGCTGAGAGCAACTAGTTTTTACACAGAGCTTGTCAGTAGAGGCAAAGGTGAACATAAGATGATGCTCACCCCTAACGCACAATGACTACAATGTGTGCCAGGGTCTTAGAGAAAAAGACACAACACTACAATGAATCACTGTGACTAAACTTGCTTTATATCTGTGTTTTACTGGCATGTTTAGCACATTCATGTGTTACTGTGAACTGTTATGTGTTTCTTTAGCTGGATAGGTGAGTTGTCTAGTTTTTCTCTTGTTTGAGTAAATCTGGAAGCTCCCTCTTAGAGTTCTTTTTACAGATAAATTTAAAAAGCAGCTTCTGGGAGTGTTGGTTTTGGTGGGGTTTTTTGAAGGAAAAAAGTGTTTGTTTTAATTTTTCATAAAGTAACATTAGACGCTGAACAGTTTGGGAGTCTTGATTATGAAGTATCCTGTCTATTTTGTTTTACTCTGTCTGTCTGTTTTTCCAGGAGTTTGTCTTCATGCTTTCCTTGTTCAGGACTGTGAGCAGTGCCAGGGCTGTCTTGGGATATTTTACTGTGTTACTCCTCTTATACGCTCCCCCGTGTCTTTAATTAATGCATTATATTTATTTTTTGCCTCAAGTAAACAGCCCATTGCTGCTGTTAGGAATGTCACTCCATGGAGCCCATTATTAATTCCCTGAATTAGGTTTCCACTTGGCAAAGAGACACTCAAGTCCTTTGAGATGTCTTGTCCAGTGTCAGAAACCACTGTGAATCCCCACCAAGAGGATTCAGAATTGAGTACTGTGAGCAGTACAGCCACCAAACAGCATGTCCATGGAGTGGTGTGACCCCCAAGGGCATGCAGCCAGCAGCCACAGTGGGAAATCACTGCATCCTCTCACCACTTTCAAGCCTGGTCCTTGACAAGGGAATGCTTTACTCACAGAAAACTTGGTCAGATGAGGTGACGAGGAGACTGTGACTTTGCTGATGCTTGTCCTAAGCAGATATAAAATTTGGAGGGGGGGGAGGGGAAGAAAAAGTCAGAAAACTAGCTGGGAAAATGCTACAGCGGAGAGATCTGACTACAGTTCAGGTGGTTGAGAAAGCAGTCTCAAGGTATCAGTCTGCTGTCTCCACAGCAACTTTGTTGTCTTATTCCAAGAGGATATCTGTTGCATGACTGCTGTGACCACAGAGGGCTACCCTGAGGAGAAGGACTTGAGGGTGTTGGTGGAAGAGAAGCTTGACATGTCTCAGCAACATGTACTTGCAGCCCAGAAAGTCAATCGTATCCTGGGCTGCATCAAAAGCATCATGGCCAGCAGGTCAAGGGAGGTGATTCTGCTCCTCTACACCACTCTCATGAGAGCCCCCCTGGAGTGCTGCATCCAGCTCTGGGGTCCGCAGCACAAGAACAATATGGACCTGTTGGAGTGAGTCCAGAGGAGAGACACTAAGTTGATCACTGGGCTGGAACACCTCTCCTGTAAAGGCAGGCTGAGAGAGTTTGGACTCAGCCTGCAGAAGAGAAGGCTCTGGGGAGAAACCTTGGAGCAGCCTTCTGGTACCTAAAAGGGCCAATGGGAAGGCTGGAGAGGGACTTTTTACAAGGGCATGTAGTGATAATACAAGGGGGGATGGCTCTAAACTGAATGAGAGTAAGCTGAGATTAGATGTTAGGAAGAAACATTTTTACTGTGATGATAGTGAGGCACTGAAACAGGATGCTCAGAGAAGTTGTGGATGCCCAATCCCTGGAAGTGTTCAAGGCCAGGCTGGATAGGGTTTTGAGCAGCTTAGCCTAGTGGAAGGTGTCCCTGCCCATGGCAGAGGAGTTGGAACTAGATGATCTTTAAGTTCCCTTCCAAATCAAATCACTCTATGATTCTATGATATTCACATGCCTATCTTAGCTGCCCTTCAGTCATTTTTCCTTTTGCTTTTCCCCCCATCTCCTGAAACACTAATTTATTGCTCCTCTCTGTACCTTCCCCCCATCCTTTAGAAGATCAGTGCCAGCAGTCACCCTCCTCCCTGTGTAGGAAACAGGACCCAAAGGAAGAGGCTGATTCCTCAGGTCAGGTTCAGGGAAGCCATGGCCTCCATTCCTATGGGTATGAAGGTCTGAAGCTCTGAGAAGTAGCAGAGCACCTCCTGGCAGCTGCTGTGCTGTATCCAGCTGCCTCTCTCTTCTATCGTCCCCTCTTGTTCTTTCTTCAGCCACCTCCATCTAGCAGCTTCATGGCAATGACTGTCTCAAAGAGAGAAAAATAATCAAAGGAGGCTACTCATTAAAGTAATATATTAATATTGAGGCATTTTCTCAAATATAGTACACTTTTCCCAAGATTTTCATCCTCAGAAAGAATACAGGCAACAAAATCTGACCCATTTTCCTTCACATGGGATGCCCCAAGCCATGCTGCCTGGCCTCCAGTTAATGGTCCAGAAAATGTCCCATCAACCTTGAGTCATATCTGACAGTCCCAAAGCTATCTCAGTCACCACAGATAATCAGAAAGGGCACAGGATAGCCATACATAGGCAAATGAATTGAGGATGATTAAAAGAGTGATTCTGATCAACTAAATACCTATTTCTCCTGCATAAACCTAGGCATTTGAGATTACTTGAGATGACTTTGAGTATCCCAGCTGGCCTTTACTACAAGTCCAGAAAAGCATGAGCCTCCTGTAGATCCTGGGTCAGATCTAAAAGCTATGTGCAAATGTCTCAGACGGGCTAAGGCATCTCAAATGGTACCAGATACCTGTGGGAGAGTAACTGAATTGTGTCTGTTCAACTGAGTTGTTTTCAAGCTTCAGTTGACTAGATTTCCATGAAGTATGAAAATACCTAAGACACATAATTTTCCTGTAGATCTCTACATTTAGCTATCTTAATGATGAACTGAATGATATCTGTATTTTTCTGCTTCTAAAATAATTTCAGTTTCAATGTAATCAAGAGCAATTACTATCATTAACACTCACAACAATGCTAGATTCATCTGCAAAATAAGTGTCATATGCAGTGGTGTGAACAATACTGTAGGACCAGCCTGTTTTGATATTACCTGTTATATTAGTAGTTTTTTGTTCTACACATTCAACCCTCCCACACTGGTTGTGTATTCTATTAAACACTTAACGAATTTAAAATCAGTACAGACTTGCTGGGTTGACTGAGGACCTCACATGCAAAATGAGTTCTATGCAACCACTTGTTACTGCTGAATTTCACCTAGAGACTACCCTGGGAGCGGAATATACATGTCCTGGGTCGAATTTGCCCCAGTGTAATTGAGAACAGAACCTGGAGAAAGGAGTATAACTTTCTACAACTGGTTGTAATCACTGCATGTGGTGAAGGAGGAGAATGGTACCTGTTCACCTCTGTTCCTTAGTAAGTCTGTACTGGCTTCTGCCCTGATATGGTGTCAGAATGAAGAGCAAATATTCTTTAATATTCAAAGTGTAAATAGACCTTCATCCATGACTAGAGAATTACAGAAGGGAACTCCTAAGGGTCTCAACCAGTAGAATTCACCTACTACACTAATGCCAAAAGAAAAGGGCAGCCTGCAAGGAGCTGCAGAGATTTGTTGTAGACACAGATTAATTAGCACCATTATAACAAAAAATGTAATTGGCATGCAACAGCAAGTTTAACTTCAGCTGGAATGTCTAAGGCTAAGAAGTCACCAGTAGAATTATAAGTAGAAATTTAGAGCCACTTCCTTTTCTAAATGATAGGAGTGTCACAGATTCCAAATAACTTATTGATTTCATAACAATTGCATTCAATGTAAGGTCAGGCAGGCTGAAACTAGTAAATAGGAAACATGGAATAATTTAGACTGGAAGGGATTTCTAGAGGTCATCTCTTCAAACTTCCATTTAAAGTAGATTCAGCTTTGAAGTCAGATCCAATTTCAAAGTTTGAGAGGCTTCTCAGCATTAGGCCATCAAAATTTTAGCACCTCCAGTGCTGAGATTGTA